AGGTGAGTTGGGCTGAGAGAGAAGCACTGTTTCAGTCACTCACCTGCCTTTCAGGCCTAAGGCGGGATTAGAACTCACCGTCTCCTGATGATTGGTCCAAGGTCACCCAGTTGGCTTTCATGGCTAAGGCGGGGCTAGAACTCACCGTCTCCTGGTGATTGGTCCAAGGTCACCCAGTTGCTTTCATGACTAAGGCGGGTCTAGAACTTACTGTCTCCTGGTGATTGGTCCAGAGTCATGCAGCTGATTTTCATGCCTAAGGCGGGACTAGAAGTCACTGTCTCCTGATGATTGGTCCAAGGGTACCCAGTCGCTTTCATGACTAAGGCGGGGCTAGAACTTACTGTCTCCTGGTGATTGGTCCAAAGTCACTCAGTCGGCTTTCATGGCTAAGGCGGGACTAGAACTCACCGTCTCCTGGTGATTGGTCCAAAGTCACTCGGTCGGCTTTCATGGCTAAGGCGGGACTAGAACTCACCATCTCCTGGTGATTGGTCCAAAGTCACTCGGTCGGCTTTCATGGCTAAGGCGGGACTAGAACTCACCGTCTCCTGGTGATTGGTCCAAAGTCACTTGGTCGGCTTTCATGGCTAAGGCAGGACTAGAACTCAGTGATTGTCTCAAAAATCACCCAGTTGCCTTTGATGCCTAAGGCAGGACTTTAACTCTTTGTCTCCTTGTGAACATCCCCAGTGCTAGAAGGGAGTGAAGAGGAGGAAAAGAAAGGGAGGGAGGGAGGGAGGGAGGGAGGAAAGAAGAAGGAGGAGAAGAAGAACTGTGGGGTCCTCAGTGCTCTCTGAGCTTGCAGGCGTTTCATGACCCAGCTAGGGAACATCATCAGTCCTAGCGCAACCTCTGAACGGAATGTCTGCAAGAAAACTACCAAGTTCAGAGGGCACCTAGGACCCCCCCCCCTCCTTTCAGCTCTTGGTACTACAAAGAATGAAAAAAATCTGATTTCTTTGCTTTGACAGGAAAACTTTTAAAAGATGGCTGCGCTGCTTTGCTTTTGCTTGTGCTGCCTGCAACAGCCGAAGAGGGCTTTGGCTCAAAGCAGGCAAAATTATACACAGATAAAAAAAAATTCCGAGAGCTGTATTGCATCATGTCGGAGCCAGCTTCCTGGCCTCCCTTGAGCCAGGGTCTTGTTTTGACAGGGGTCAGCCCACGGCCACTTAGTCATGTGCTGATGGGGGCTGCTCCTCCCTTGGTTTTCATTGACACTGTTTTTGTGTTTTCCCTGCCGAAAGAGTAAATCTTGATCTGTTGTATCCTATAATATGTGTTCAGTTCTTTAAAGGGGCTGAGATTTGAAAGTTAGAGGGCATGGATTTTTATTTGGGCCAGACCAAAATAAATCCCCCGGTGGGGGATTGTTATCAGACTTACTGCAATTTTTTATTCCTTCCTTCCTTCCTTCCTTCCTTCCTTCCTTCCTTCCTTCCTTCCTTCCTTCCTTCCTTCCTTCCTTCCTTCCTTCCCTTCCCTTCCTTCATTCCTTCCTTCCTTCGTTCCTTCCCTTCCTTCCTTCCTTCCCTCCCTCCCTTCCTTCCTCCCTCCCCCCTCCTCCCTTCCTTCCTTCCTCCTCCCTCCCTCCCTTCCCCTTCCTTCCTTCTTTCCTTCCTTCCTTCCTCCCTCCCCCTCCTTCCTTCCTTCCTCCCTCCCCCCTTCCTTCCTTCCTCCCCTCTCCCTCCCTTCCTCCTTCCTTCCTTCCTTCCTTCCTCCCTCCCCCCTCCCTTCCTTCCTTCCTTCCTCTTCCCTCCCTTCCTCCTCCTCCCCTTCCTTCCTTCCTTCCTTCCTTCCTTCCTTCCTTCCTTCCTTCCTTCCTTCCTTCCTTCCTTCCTTCCTTCCTTCCTTCCTTCAGACTTAGCAATAGCGCTTAGACTTATATACCACTTCACAGTGCTTTACAGGCCTCTCTAAGCGGTTTACAGAGTCAGCATGTTGCCCTCAACAATCTGGGGTCCTCATTTTACCCACCTCGGAAGGATGGAAGGCTGAGTCAACCTCCAGCCACTTAGGATAGAACGCTTGGCAATCGGCAGAGTTAGCAACAGCAATACCAATAGCACTTACACTTATATACCGATCCACAGTGCCTTTACAGCCCTCTCTCAGCAGTTTACAGCTTCAGCCTATTGCCCCCCAACCATCTGGGTCCTCATTTTACTGACCTTGGGAGGATGGAAGGCTGAGTCAACCTTGAGCTAGTCAGGATTGAACTCTAGGCTGTGGACAGAGTTTGCCTGCAATACTGCATTCTAACCACTGCACCACTAAGGCCTTCCTTCCTTCCTTCCTTCCTTCCTTCCTTCCTTCCTTCTTTCCTTCCTTCCTTCCTTTCCTTCCTTTCCTTCCTTTCCCATTCCCTCCCTCCCTCCCTCCCTCCCTCCCTCCCTCCCTTCCTTCCTTCCTTCCTTCACACTTACACTTATATACTGCTCCACAGTGCTTTACAGCCCTCTCTAAGCCGTTTACAGCTTCAGCCTTTTGCTCATCTGACCGTGGCGTGAAAAAGGGTCCATTTTATCCGGGTCATTGTTAACTTCAGACAGTCACTAAAGGAATCGTCGTAAGTCGAGGACTATCTGCCATCTCCCCTCTTGTCCAAAATAATCCCCGGAGGGTCTCTCTCGTTTCCACCACTGGGTTCAGGAGGGAGCAAATCTAATCCGAGGGCAAGGCAGAGGGATTGCGTTTTGTGTTTTTGTTTTCCTCCCCGCACATCTGAGTCATGCCAAGCTTTTTCTCGGGCTCAGGCTGCCTCTGGTGTTTGTGCTGCCGAGAAATGCTTAGTCACATCATGATGTGCATTTCCCCCCCCTCTCCTCCTCCTCCTCCTCCCCCCCTTTAGAGTTTGGATCAAGCTTGGAGAAAGAGGACAAAAAAAAAAAAAAAACAGAATTGGCAAGGTCAAGATGCCACTAGGCTGATTGTGAATTTGGAAAGGACCTCCGTCCGGGATGTGTGTATTTGTGTGTGTGAGAGAGAGAGAAATTAAGGCTGGGGGGAGCTGGCCCAGGCCTGGGTCCCCGTGAGATTGGCATCCTCCTGCCTCTGGAGCCCAAACAACCTGACCCGGATACGAGGAATGGGTTGATGTTCCTCTCTTCTCTCTCCCCCCCCCCCCAAAACTGTAAAATGATCCAGAAGGAGAAGAGAGAAAAACAGAACCAGCGGCCAGATCACATGCCGGTTACGCGTGCCAGGCTGAAAGGCCGGTTGCTGGGGGAAACGGGAGCAGGGCCTGCCCTGTAAACACCAGAACAGCCAATTATTTAATTACTCTTTGATGGGAATTAATGCGAGGTCCTCGGCCTTCCTCAAGGCCGTCCAGGTGGCTGCTGAAGTAGAAACATGCTGGGGTGGTGGGGCTTCGGCAGATCCCTTTGATGGCCACCTTCGGGGTTCCTCCCCAGGGAATTATCACTGATGCTGAGTTAAATTCCCAAGGGGCCAGTATTGGAATGAGTGGCTGCCCAGCATCGTGGAATCATAGAGTCGAAGGGCTGGAAGGGGCCTTGGGGGTCTTGTAGTCCAGGGGTCCGCCAATAATTCAACACCCAGAAGGAAGTTGAGCGCTCCCTGTATACTCAATGAGAGGGAGGGGGAGAGAGAGGGATGGAGAAGGAGAGGGAGGGAGAGAGGGAGAAGGAGAGGGAGGGAGGGAGAAAGAATGAGGGAGAGGGAGGGAGGGAGAAGGAGGGAGGGAGGGAGAAAGTGAGGGAGAGGGAGGGAGGGAGGAATGAGGGAGGGAGAGAGGGATGGAGAAGGGAGAGGAGAGGGAGGGAAGGAGAGGGAGAGAGAAAGAATGAGGGAGAGGGAGGGAGGGAAAGAATGGGAGGGAGGGAGGGAGAAGGAGAGGGAGGGAGAGGGAGGGAGGAATGAGAGGAGAGAGGGAGAGAGAGAGGGAGGGGAGGGAGAAAGAATGAGGGAGGGGGAGAGGGAGGGAGGGGGAGAAGGAGAGGGAGGGAGGGAGAGGGAGGGAGGAATGAGGGGAGGGAGAGAGGGAGGGAGAGGGAGAAAGGGAGAGGGACTGAGGAATGAGGGAGAGGGAGGGATAAGGAGGGAAGGAGAGATACTGAGGGAGGGGGAGGGAGAAGGAGGAGAGGGAGGGAGAGGTGACGGGCAGAGATATTGAGGGAGGGAGGGAGGGAGGGGGAGAATGACAGAGAGGGAGGGAGGGAGGAGAGGGAAAAGGAGATGGAGAGAGAGAAAGTGAGGGAGAGAGCAGGAGAGAGTAGGAGGGGGAGAGAGAGAAAGAGATATTCATTGTTTGTTTGATTGATTGATTATGGAGCGGTGGCCTATCTGGGTGAAGATCTGCTCTTCCAGATGTCCTCCACGGAACAGTTTCTTCTCATTCCAGGGAGAGTAGATCTAGGACAGGTTGAAATGGGGCTGGCTAGAGAAGGTACAAAACGCTGTGGATCAAATGGCACATGACTGACCCTTAGTGGCCTCTGTGCAAAAACAAAGTATGCATATTGGTGGCTATCTGGCGTTAACGTCTTGTGTAAATATAGATTCACCTCCTGCTATTGTGGCCCTTTAAAGTCAACCTCTCTCCCTATGAACCCCTTTAGACGTGCGCTGATTCCTTCCCCCTGGAGGAAGAAAATAATTTCATTATTTTAAGAGCAAGTGTATCCAGTGGATAGGATTTAATCCAGCATTAATATCCACCTTTCCACCAATTTGCTTTTAATGACCGTCCGAGACTAACATCCATGAAGCTGCAAGACTCAAGCTTGGCCGAGCACCTCTGGATTCTGGGATGGACCTACCATCTAGCGCAGGGGTCTTCAAACTTGGCCCTTTGATGACTCGTGGACTTCAACTCCCAGAATTCCTCAGCCAGGCACGCGTGCCTGGCTGAGGAATTCTGGGAGTTGAAGTCCACGAGTCACCAAAGGGCCAAGTTTGAAGACCCCTGATCTAGCGGTTCGTTTTATTTTTCAGAGAAATGTAAATAGTCCTTTTCTCTCCTTCATTTATAGTTCCAATGACTGGCTTCACCCAAAGGGCTACCATTGATCCGGAACTGAACGAGATCCATGTGCTCTCTGGACTGAGTAAAGACAAGGAAAAACGGGAAGAGAACGTTCGGAATTCCTTCTGGATTTACGACATCGTCCGAAACAGCTGGTAAACAGATCGTTTTATTTTTTTTTTCCTTCTTCTCCTAAGTCTCTTTTTGCCTTGTCCGGATTAATAGACGAGAGGGCAGATTGTCTGTTTTTGGAATTTGCAGGTGGGGAATGGAAAGATTGATACCCCTTGCAGACAGCTGGTCATTTGCATTCTTTCCGAGAGCTGTTGAGGCCACTTGGAGGTTTTACCTTCTGGCTCTGCTCTTCAATAAACTGCAACTTTCTTTCTAAAGCAGTCTCCATTCTGTTTATTCCCGGCTTGGACTGAACCCTGATGAAGATTTTTCTTTCAACATCCCCAAAAGCCTGCGTCTATCTTCAACCGTGAAGGGACCCAGGGCACAAAACATCCTGCAGCCAAGAAGGCTCCACACCCATTTGCACCACTCCGGTGACCCTGAGGACACAGACAAACCTCCAAGTGGCCTCAACGACTCTCTCAAAGAAGGCAAATGACCAGCTGTCTGCAAGGAGTATAAATCCCTCCATTCCTCCACCATCCAGTCGGAGCTGAAGAAGCTTCTTGGAGGAGAAGCGAAACGCCTTCAAAGAAAAACAAAGAACGTCCAGTTGCTTCCTGAAAAAGCACCTTTGGGTCAAGGGCTACCTGTACACAGGTTTTAGTGTGAGATCTGAAGACGTGACCCAAATAATCGCACGACCGAACAGGTAGCAGAGGAACATGATAGCAGTGTTCCAATATCTCAGGGGCTGCCCCAAAGAAGAGGGAGTCAAGCTATTCTCCAAAGCGCCTGAAGGCAGGACAAGAAGCAACGGGTGGAAACTCATCAAGGAGAGAAGCAACCTAGAACTAAGGAGAAACTTCCTGACAGTTAGAACAATTAACCAGTGGAACAGCCTGCCTCCAGAAGCGGTGAATGCTCCAACACTGGAAGTTTTTAAGAGACTGGACAGCCCTTTGTCTGAAATGGTATAGGGTTTCCCACTTGAGTAGGGGGTTGGGCTAGATGACCTCCAAGGTCCCTTCCAACAACAACAATTAAGAAGACTTGGTGGTTCTCCCAGGACTGGGGGACAGAATGAATATGGAGCCACTCTCTTTTTTATTGTGTTTTGCTTTCTTTTATTTTAGTTAGATCTGATCAATTTGGGGTCTTCTTCTTCTTCTTCTTCTTCTTCTTCTTCTTCTTCTTCTTCTTCTTCTTCTTCTTCTTCTTCTTCTTCTTCTTCTTCTTCTTCTTCTCCTCCTCCTCCTCCTCCTCCTCCTCCTCCTCCTCCTCCTCCTCCCTCTCCTTCTCCTTCTTCTTCTTCTCCTTCTCCTTCTCCTTCTTTTTCTTCTCCTCCTCCTCCTCCTCCTCCATTCCTTCTCCATTCCTTCTCCTCCTCCTCCTCTTCTTCTTTTCCTCCTCCTCCTCCTCTTCTTCTTATTATTGTCATCATCATCATCATCATCATTGGGTTAGCAATCTAGACTTGTAGTAGAACTTAAGCTTAAGAGGAGATAAATAAGACCTGCCGGTTCACCTCTGGATAACCAACATCCTGCCTTTCAGGTCTTGTGTCTACAAGAACGATCAAGCCGCCAAAGAGAATTCAAACAAGAGCCTTCAGGAAGAGGAGCCCTGCCCGCGTTTTGCACACCAGCTTGTGTACGATGAATTGCACAAGGTAAGATGCTTGACAATATGGTGGAGCGGTCAACAGTTATTGTAACGCAAAGACCTTTTTCTGTTTCTTTTTTTTTATATAAGATTTTTACTGATTTTTTTCATGCATTCAATAGTACTTGTTCAACAAACGTGTTGTCTGAGTTTTGCATTCACCAATACAGATTTAATTCCCGATCCTTTATTCTTTTCTCCGGCCATTGATAAAATAAGTCCCAAGTTTGATCATATTCCGTTTCCTCTTTTTCTTTCCACCTCAAAGCCGGTCTGTCCATCTCCGCATATTCTGGTTGTTTTTTTTTTTTAATTCTTTCTTCCTCTGATAGCATTTCTTTGTTTTTTTTCCAATATTGTGTGAATATAATTCTAGCCACTGTTCTTACATGTAAAATCAAATATACACTTTTGTTTATCCGTCCTTTCTGGCATTATACCTAATTAAAAAAAAGTTCAGGTTTAAAATCTGCATGTTTTCCCAACATCTTTTCTAGCCACCTGTGTATTTTTTTCCCTTTGCTTTGGCCCATGTCCACCAAACATGGTAATAAGTACCTGACTTGTGTTTACATTTCCAACATCCATCTTGACATGTTTGTAAACATTTTGGCTAACCTTGCTGGTGCCTCCTTATAAAGAAAACTTACGTAAAATGTTTTTATACAAGACCTGGGGTTGTTTTTTGTTTTTTTTTTCTATGTTTCCTGTGGAGTCAGTAAATACAATACAAGGCCTCACTGGTCAAAAGCCATCTTTCTTAGAGAGAGGGAATACTACAAATGCATCACAGGAACAATAGAGATGAATCATAGGGTAGCAATGTGACACAGAAAAACAAATACAATAGGGATGAATGATAAGGCTACATATAAGGTAAACATAACGTAACATCTTCATCTTTTCAATGGTAACCAAACCACATTATGAAATTTTGGATGAGAACCAGTAACAACATTTCCCTTAGGCTGAGACTTTTGGGTGGTTGTGAACGTCTGCCACTACGGGTGGAGACTGGCCCTCTTTGTAGTAAGAGTTTCTCTGATCTTGCTCCCGTGAGATTGCCGTGCTAAGGTTACAGGAGTAGAATTGGGTTGAGTGACATCCTGGTCAAATCCAGCCACGACATGATGATGGCTTCTTTTCCCTCTGGGATGCTGGTGTAGGCACCATGATCTTCAGGAAGGAGAGCCTAATAATAATAATTGGCATTGACAAATTCACTATTAGTCAATTGCAAAAGGCAGCCTTATTAGGAACTGCTTCCATCCTGCGACGATACCTGTAATACCATCAAACATCCACATCTGCCTATTCCAGGTCCTGGGTAAGGACTCGATAGGTAGACAAAATGCCAAATCCAGTCTGAACATCTGGCTGACTGTGCGATGATCCATAATAGTAGTAGTAGTAGTAGTAGTAGTAGTAGTAGTAGTAGTAGTAGTAGTAGTAATAATAATAATAGGAATATTTCAAGGAGATTCATTATCACCATTACTATTTGTTATTGCACTGTTTCCTCTGTCAACAATACTGAATAACTCAGGACATGGTTATCAAACATCAAACACATCTGCTAGACTATCCCACCTCCTTTACCTGGATGATCTGAAGCTGTATGGAAAAACATCATCTGAAATAGAATCGCTGCTCAACACTGTCCGTATATATAGCCAAGATATTGTAATGGAGTTTGGCTTGGACAAATGTGCCACACTTACTATCAAACAAGAAAAAATAGTGAAAACTGAAGGAATCAAGATGCCCCACGAAAATAACATTAAGAGTCTGGATGAGGAAGAGTACTACAACTACTTGGGTATCCTTCAAGCTGACAACATCAATCACACTGAAGTCAAGAAAAAGATTAGAGGTGAATACATCAAGAGAGTGAAGAAGATCTTAAAGTCCAAACTCAATGGAGGAAATACCATAAGGGCAATCAACACCTGGGCAATCCCAGTCATTAGGTACACAGCTGGAATAGTGGACTGGACTCAAGCAGAACTAAAAGCAATGGATAGGCAGACCCGAAAAATAATGACAATGAATCATACCCTTCATCCACACAGTGACATTGATAGACTTTATCTACCAAGGCAAATAGGTGGGCGTGGAATGCTACAAGTACATCAGATGGTTGAAGAAGAAAAAATGGCTTTGGAAGAATATCTGAAGAACAATGATGAAGATGCACTGAAATTAGTATATCAGGAAGGCTTACTGACTACTGGAGAGACCAAACTGGCCTACAAGAAAGACCAAATGAAGAACAGAATAGAGGCATGGGAAGACAAAGCACTACATGGCCAATACATGAAAAAAATAGCTGGGAAAGCAGATAAAAATAAAACCTGGCACTGGCTAAGAGCAGGAAAATTGAAGAAAGAGACCGAGGGACTAATTCTGGCTGCACAAGACCAAGCCTTAAGGACAAATGCATACAAAGTCAAAATTGAGAAGACAGCAACAGACAGTAAGTGCCGCCTATGCAAAGAAGCTGAAGAAACAGTGGACCACTTGGTAAGCTGTTGCAAGAAGATTGCACAGACTGATTACAAGCAGCGACATGACAAAGTAGCAACAATGGTGCATTGGAAGATCTGCAAAAAATATCATTTGCCTGTAAGCAAAAACTGGTGGGATCATAAAATAGAGAAAGTCATAGAAAATGATAAAATTAAACTGCTCTGGGACTTCAGAATTCAAACAGACAAGCACCTGCAACATAACACCCCAGACTTAACAATTGTCGATAAGAAAGACAAAAAAGTCTGGATAGTGGACGTGGCAGTGCCTGGAGATAGCAGAATAGAAGAGAAAGAACTGGAGAAGATAACAAAATACAAAGACCTACAAATAGAAATAGAAAGACTGTGGCAAAAGCAAGCAAGGGTAGTACCAATAGTAATAGGCTCCTTGGGTGCAATCCCAAAACAACTGGAGCACCACTTGAACACCATCATTGGCATTGACAAATTCTCTATTAGTCAATTGCAAAAGGCAGCCTTATTAGGAACTGCTTCCATCCTGCGACGATACCTGTAACACCATCAAACATCCACATCTGCCTATCCCAGGTCCTAGGTAAGGACTCGATAGGTAGACAAAATGTCAAATCCAGTCTGAACATCTGGCTGACTGTGCGATGATCAATAATAAACAACTTGAAAGGGACCTTGGAGGTCATCTAGTCCAACCCTTGCTCGGGCAGGAAACCCTATACCCATTACAGACAAATGGCTGTCCAGTCTCTTCTTAAAAACTTCCAGTGTTGAAGCATTCACCGCTTCTGGAGGCAGGTTGTTCCACTGGTTAATTGTTCTCACTATCAGGAAGTTTCTCCTTAGTTCTAGGTTGCTTCTCTCCTTGATTAGTTTCCATGATCCATTGCTTCTTGTCTTGCCTTCAGGTGCTTTGGAGAATAGCTTGACTCCCTCTTCTTTGGGGTAGCCCCTGACCCTCCACTTTGAGACTGCTTAATATATGGAGCAGGGCTCTTTCATCTTGGCAACTTTAACACGTGGATTCCCAGAATTCCCCAGCCAGCATGGGAAGTTGAAGTCCACACGTCTTAACATTGCCACGGTTGGAGAGCCCTGATCCAGAGCAGGGGTAGGCAACCTTGGCCCCTTCATGACTCGTGGACTTCAACTTCCAGAATTCCTGAGCCAGCCACGCTGAGGGGAAAGGGAGAGGTTTCCAAACTGAGCCATGCTGGCTGAGGAATTCTGGGAGTTGAAGTCCACGAGCCATAAAGCAGCCTAGGCCTAGACCAGAGTAGGCAACCTTGGCTCTTTTATGACTCATGGACTTCAACTCCCAGAATTCCTGAGTCAGCATGGCTCAGCTTGGAAACCTCTCCCTTTCCCCTCAGCACGGCTGGCTCAGGAATTCTGGGAGTTGAAGTCCATGAGCCATAAAAGAGCCAAGGTTGCCTGCCCCTGACCTAGAAGAAGAGAAGAGCAAAAGCGATCGAACCTGAGTTCTGAAAGCTAGCTGCTGCCTTAGGGTCCACTTTCTGGGGGTGAGGATGAGGATGATGGGGTGAAAGAATTATTCCAGATGTGGCCCAAAGTCACCCAGCTGCCTTTCATGCCTAAGGCGGGATTAGAACTCACCGTCACCTGGTGATTGGCCCAAAGTCACCCAGCTGCCATTCATGCCTAAGGCGGGACTAGAACTCACCGTCTCCTGATGATTGGTCCAAAGTCATGGAGCTTCTTTCACGCCTAAGGCGGGACTAGAAGTCACCGTCTCCTGGTGATTGGCCCAAAGGCATGCAGCTGCCTTTCATGCCTGAGGCAGGACTAGAATTCTCAGTCTCCTGATGATTGGTCCAAAGTTACCCAGCTGCCATTCATGCCTAAGGCGGGACTAGAACTCACCATCGCCTGGTGATTGGCCCAAAGTCACCCAGCTGCCTTTCATGCCTAAGGCGGGACTAGAACTCACCGTTTCCTGGTGATTGCTCCAAAGTCATGCAGCTGCTTTCACGCCTAAGGCGGGACTAGAACTCACCGTTGCCTGGTGATTGGCCCAAAGTCACCCAGCCGGCTTTCACGCCTAAGGCGGGACTAGATGTCACTGTCTCCTGATGATTGGCCCAAAGTCTCCCAGCTGCCTTTCACGCCTAAGGCGGGACTAGAACTCACCGTTGCCTGGTGATTGGCCCAAAGTCACCCAGCTGGCTTTCACGCCTAAGGCGGGACTAGATGTCACTGTCTCCTGATGATTGGCCCAAAGTCTCCCAGCTACCTTTCACACCTAAGGCAGGACTAGAAGTCCCCGTCTCCTGGTGATTGGCCCAAAGTCACCCAGCTGCCTTTCACGCCTAAGGGAGGACCTGGCTTTAACCACTAGATCAGATGGGCTTTTCTTGCAATTACTTCAGTCCTCCTGGACAGAAATCAAGGTTTATGTGTTGGGGTGTATTCCCACCCTTTTCGCCAGAGTAAGGAGGTGCAGGCCTGTGGCTTTTCTCCTCCTCTGTCTGCCTTTTTAGAGAGTGCAGCAGCTCCAAGCATTTGGTCCTATGTCCAGTCGTGCTTCTTGGAAAACATACCCAAGGCTGAGATGGTTTCCCTGACCGCCAGTTATTTACGACCAGATCTCTCCACCCTTCTCCCTTCAAGGTCCATTACTTGTTTGGAGGCAATCCAGGCAAACCCTGTTCTCCAAAGATGAGGCTGGATGACTTCTGGTCCTTGAAACTCTGCCGGCCGTCCAAGGAATACTTGCTTCGCCATTGCAAGTACTTGATAAGGAAGCACAGGTACAGACCTGCAAAGGGGGGGGGGGAGGGAGGCCTTTAACAAAGGCATCGGGGAGGTGGGCTGTTGGGAGGAACAGCGCAGCCCTCCCCCTTTTTAATAGGATCACTCACTCCTGGGATGACGAAGCCTTAAAGTCCATAAAGGCAACCATTAAAACAGGGGTCTTCAAACTTGGCCCTTTTATGACTTGTGGACTTCAATTCCCAGAATTCCTCAGCCAGCCCCCATTTTGTTTGTTAGATTTAAGCCAGGGGTCTTCAAACTTGGCCCTTTTATGTCTCAACTCCCAGAAAGCCACATTTTGTTTGTTAGATTTGGCCCTTTTATGATTTGTTTCAACTCCCAGACTTGTGGACTTCAATTCCCAGAATTCCTCAGCCAGCCCCCATTTTGTTTGTTAGATTTAAGCCAGGGGTCTTCAAACTTGGCCCTTTTATGATTTGTGGACGTCAACTCCCAGAATTCCTCAGCCAGCCCCCATTTTGTTTGTTAGATTTAAGACAAGGGTCTTCAAACTTGGCCCTTTTATGATTTGTGGACGTCAACTCCCAGAATTCCTCAGCCAGCATGGGGGAACTGTGGCCCCTTCATAACCTGCAGACTTCAACTCCCAGAATTCCTCAGCCAGCATGGGGGAACTATGGTCCCTTCATGATGTGCGGACTTCAACTCCCACAATTCCTGAGCCAGCATGGGGGAACTATGGCCTCTTCATGACTTGTGGACTTCAACTCTCAGAATTCCTCACCCAGCCTCCATTTTGTTTGTTAGATTTAAGACGGGTCTTCAAACTTGGCCCTTTTATGATTTGTGGATGTCAATTCCCAGAATTCCTCAGCTAGCATGGGGGAACTGTGGCCTCTTCATGACTTGTGGACTTCAACTCCCAGAATTCCTCAGCCAGGCATGCACGCTGGCTGAGGAATTCTGGGAGTTGAAGTCCACAAGTCATAAAAGGGCCAAGTTTGAAGACCCCCTGCATGAAAAGCTCTTTATTTTCTATTGGATTTATTTCAAGGGAACTCCTGCCTGTTTTCAGTTAAGCTGAAAAGAAGTTGAGCATTGTCGGCGTGAGACTAGGGGAGGAGTCAAGTGGGGAATTAGTCTGGAATCCTGAAGTCGGCGTGAGAGGACAAGTTCTGAACTCCCTTTAGAATGCCATTGAAACAAGGTGGCTGGCTGGGGGATTATGGGAGTTGAAGTCCCCAGGCCTTAAAAGTTGCCAAGGTTGGACATCCCTGAATTAGGAAATCAGCCAGATGCAATCTAAGTCCAGGTCGTGGTCTTCTCCTATGTAAAAGGGAGGCTCTAGTCCACATGAGGTTCTGGTCTTAGACGGCCCAGCAGAAACATATTTGGAGAATGCCCTTTTTTTAAAAAAAATAGTCTCATGAGTTTTAAGCTCTCCTCAGCTGCCTCGGCTACATCCTGGCCTTGTGTGTCTCCACAGGTTTGAAGAGAAAGCTCAGACGGATCCCCTCGGCGCTCTGAAATATTTGCAGAACGACCTGTTTGTCACTGTGGATCATTCAGATCCCGAGGAAACGAAGGAGGTAAGTGGTGACGTCTCTGAGTCTCCCCTTCACCTGGAAACAATGGTGCGAGTCCGCTTGGAATTGGCCTTTCTGAAGCACCTGGAATGACAAAGGTGTGGCTGCACAGTCCTGGGGAGTTGTGTACGTGTGTTATGTGTGTGCTTTGGGGCAGGAAACCCCCTGAGGTTGGTGTGGCAGGAGTCGATACGTTCCCACGACTCTCTGCCTGATTGCCTTGCTCTGACTGAGGAAGCTGCCTGGATGGACAGCGAAGTGTCTCTCAGACTAACAACAGTGACAAATTTACAGGCAGTCCTCGACTTAACGGCCACAACTGAGCCCAAAGTTTAGGTTGCTGAGAAGTTCGTTAAGCGAGCTTTGCCCCATTTTTCGACTTTCCTTGCCCCAGTTGTGAAGTGAATCACTGCAGGGGTTAATAACACGGTCGTTAAGTGAATCTGGCTTCCCCCCCCCTTGACTTTGCAAAGGTCGCAAAAGTGGATCACATGACCCCAGGACACTGCAACCGTCATAAATGCGAGTCCGTTGCCAAACGTGAATCACGTGAGCCTGGGAAGGCTGCAATGGTCGTAAGTGTGAAAAACGGTCCTAAGTCACTTTTTTCAGTGCCGTTGCCACTTCGTACCGTCGCTAAATGAGCGGTTGTAAGTCGAGGACTGTCTGTAGTCCAGTTGCAATGATTCAGCCTTCAGACAGAAGGGGAATGTTATTGCTTACTGCTACTGTGTTTCCCTGAAAGTAAGGCCTACACCAGGGGTAGGCAACCTTGGCTCTTTTATGACTCGTGGACTTCAACTCCCAGAAAGTTTCCTGAGCCAGCCATGGGAGGGGAACTAGCTGAGCCCCCTTGGCTCATGACTGGACTTCAACTCCCAGAATTCCTCAGCCAGTGTGAGGGAACTATGGCCCCTTCATGACTTGTGGACTTCAACTCATTATAAAGGCATTATAAAGCAGTAGTTATTACTTATTAAAATATCATTCTAGGAGGTATATATATTTTAAGTACTATGTTATCTTCTCTGTTCTGTTACAACTGCTTTTTTTCTATTCTTTTGTATTTTTTATTTATTTATTTTTTCTCTTACTCTTTTTCTCTTCCCCTCTCTTTTTACTTTTATATTTAATACTTAAGTAACACAAAAATGTGAGGTGGCTTATATGGAAAAAATAGAATCAAGTCTGTCAGTGTAAATGTAATTAATTGCTACCAGTAAAAATACTCAGAATTTGGTGGGAGAAAAAAACTAAAATAATGGACCGTAACAGGATTGATGATAAGGCAAATCCAAATGAATGGAAAGAAAAGAAATGTATTAATATGATGATTATTTTTTTTAGGAATATTGGAAAAAATATATACTAAATTGTCAGTTATTAAAACATTAAGAATTGTATTAACACAATGTTTGCAAAAAAGGATGTTTTTAGGGAAAGGGGAAAGTAAACAAAATTAATATATGAAATACAGACTATAGAAATTAATTGTTAAGGACTGTTTTTACAAATGTAACCCAGGCACCACACTGTTTACCAACTATTGAATGACTTATGTTTTGTGTAAAAAACTAATACAAATTATAATCAGAAAAATAAAAAATAAAATATCCTTCTTGTGTTGTTGTTCCCTCACCCCCCCCCCCCATCTAGTTCCAGCTCCTGGCTTCGGCACTTTTCAAGTCGGGTTGTGATCTGAGCACGTTGGGTGAGTCGACGTCAAGACCGAATCTAGCTTTGGGTCAAGCGCCTGTAAAAAAAATCCACGGCCTCAGTTTCCCCCACGGTTTAGAGGCATTACCCACTTAAACATTGGAAGCAGGAGGTCAAAACAAATTAACAGAATATCCGTCATCCTGACAGCCGGCAGCCCTTGGCCAGCTGCGGTTTGGGAAGGGGGGCGGGGATGAGTTTGATCTTGGCTTGCAAAGATGAAGTGTGCTGTCACAACGGGCCGAGTTCGGCCTGTTCTAAGCAATCTCTCTCCTTGGGCAGCCGGTCAAGGAAAACAACATTTCCACTTCCGAGAACCAAAGAATCCAAGTTCAAGTTTATGATGATTCCCCCCCCCCTCCTCCATAGCTCTTCCCTAACTGAACATAACGGAATAGCAAGATTTGGAAGGGACCTTGGGGGGGTCTTCTAGTCTAGGAGTCCCCAAACTGTGAGCCCACTAGTGCTGGTCACCGGTCCGCAGGACAGACTGGCCAGTGCGTGCGTGTGTGTGCATGCACTCATCCCCACTTGCGCTAGCGCCCGCTGCCCCATTTGCACATCCCGTTAATGCCGCACAGGTTGCGTGGCTCATTTAGGCCTGCGGCGGCACCAGCACCTGTGCGCATGCACGAACGGGCGCTAGCTCCGCACGGGTGTGCGCATATGCAAACACGGGCTGCCAGCCTGGAAAAGTTGGAGATCTGTGTTCTAGTCCAGCCCCCTGCTCAAGCAGGAGACCCTGCCCCATTCCAAACAACTGGCTGTCCAGTCTCTTCTTAAAAACCTCCAGTGATGGAGCTCACAGCTTCTGGAGGCAGGTAGTTCCAATGGTTAATTGTTGCATATAATCATATCTTTGCAAAACAGGCTTTGGGGCTGGATGGCCTCCCCCATTCTGGGAAGGGTTTTCTCCCCCCCGGGACAGCTCAGAGTTGGGAGCAGGGAGCGTGATGGAAGCACTGGGAAGGAGCAAGCGATTCGGGCTGCACACAGGCAGTCCTCGACTTACGATCACAGTTGAGCCAAAAATTTCTGTCGCTAAACAAGACAGTTATTAAATGAGTTTTGCCCCATTTTATGACGCTTTCTTGCCACGTTTGTTCAGCTGTTAAATTACTAACACAGTCGTTAGTTGAATCTGGCTTCCCCCATTGATGATGATGATAATAGTAGTAGTAGTAGTAGTAGTAATAATAATAATAATAGCAATAATAATAATAATAATAAAGAAGAAGAAACAGTGGACCACTTGGTAAGCTGTTGCAAGAAGATTGCACAGACTGACTACAAGCAGTGGCATGACAGAGTAGCAACAATGGTGCATTGGAACATCTGCAAAAAATATCATTTGCCTGTAAGCAAAAACTGGTGGGATCATAAAATAGAGAAAGTGATAGAAAATGATAAAATTAAACTGCTCTGGGACTTCAGAATTCAAACAGACAAGCACCTGCAACATAACACCCCAGACTTAACAATTGTCGATAAGAAAGACAAAAAAGTCTGGATAGTGGACGTGGCAGTGCCTGGAGACAGCAGAATAGAAGAGAAAGAACTGGAGAAGATAACAAAATACAAAGACCTACAAATAGAAATAGAAAGACTGGCAAAAGCAAGCAAGGGTAGTACCAATAGTAATAGGCTCCTTGGGTGCAATCCCAAAACAACTGGAGCACCACTTGAACACCATTGGCATTGACAAATTCGCTATTAGTCAATTGCAAAAGGCGGCCTTATTAGGAACTGCTTCCATCCTGCGACGATACCTGTAATACCATCAAACATCCACATCTGCCTATCCCAGGTCCTGGGTAAGGACTCGATAGGTAGACAAAATGCCAAATCCAGTCTGAACATCTGGCTGACTGTGCGATGATCCATAATAATAATAATGATGATGATGATGATGATGATGATGTTGGAAGGGACCTTGGAGGTCTTCTAGTCCAACCCCCTGCTCAAGCAGGAGAACCTATACCAGTGATGGCGAACCTTTTAGAGACCGAGTAACCCAAAAGCGTCTCAATATTGGATCAGGTCACCGGGGGGGGGGAGGGGAGGCTGCAACATTGTAAATGTGGAAAAATGGTCCTAAGTGACTTTTTTCAGTGCCGTCGTAACTGAGAGCGGTCACTAAATGAACGGTTAACGGAAATTTAGGGCTCATTTGTGGTCGTAAGTTGAGGACTACCTGTAGGGCTTTCGTGGAATGTTTCAGGTCCAAGATTTACAGCAGATTTACACCTCCTGATGACCCACAAATCCTTTTCCCCCTCCCCTCTTCTTTCCTTCCGTCCATCTCCAGGCTTTTCGGACGTCGACCACGTCTACGCCCAACGCACTCAGCTCTTCGACACCCTGGTGAACTTCTTTCCCGACAACATGACCCCTCCCAAGGGCAACTTGGTGGAGCTCATCACCCTGTGACGAGTCAAGTTGCTAGACCTGTGGATGGAAGAGGATTTTTTTTCCCCAGTATTTTTAATTTCGTGAGGGTGCGCGCGCTTGTGTGTGTGTGTGTGTATGTGCAGTGAGCGATTGGGGGGGGGGCTGCAGAAATAGAAGCGAGTCGCGTGGGGGAGGGGCTTTATGCAAATGGGTAATAAAACAAAAAAAGGAACCAATAACGTTTCCGATGGGCTTCAGGATGGATGGACGGATGGATGTTCTGTTCGTTTTGTTGGTTCATTCTCATTCACGTTGATGATGCTTTCGGAAAGCTGGCGAATATGGATAATCCAGGGGGAAATTGGTGTGGGTTCCTTGAGCTTACAGCCCCTGCCCTGGGTGCAAACTCAGGACTTTGAAGATAGGTGGTGCTTTTTTTTTATTTTTAAATTATTATTTGATTGGTTCGCAGCAGTTTTATTTCCCCCCCACACACACACACACTGACTTTGCCGATTTGAGCTTGTTTCTCAACCTGCTAAGAAGCGTAGATCTGACCCTTTTTTTTCATTTTGAGCTGCTGTTGGAAAAAGAAAGACGAGGATGCATGTACTTTGAGGATCGTGCGCCATCTAGTGGCTGGGAGGATGCATGTACTTTGAGGATCGTGCGCCATCTAGTGGCTGGGAGGATGCATGTACTTTGGGGATCTTGCGCCATCTAGTGGCCATCAAGACCCACGATGTTGACTTCTGCCTCAATCAGGGATGGTCCGACTTTGGCCACTTGTAAGACCTGTGGACTTCAACTCCCAGAATCCCCCAGCCAGCAACAGCTGGCTGGGGGATTCTGGAAGTCCACAAGTCTTAAAAAAGTGGCCAAAGTTGGACAGTCCGGGCCTAAATGGGGGACATCTTGTCCTGCAAATCCATGTGGAGAAGACGCAACCTTGACTTGTTTCTTTTACCCAAAACTTTCCCGCGTTAGAAAATGAAGCCTACGCATTGCCGCCTCTTCCCCTTCCATTTACACCTAGAAAGAGTTTAGCTTTTTAAATTTCAGATTACAATCCCCGGAGTTCTAATCGTAGCTTTGGGGCTGTGTGTGAGCAGCAGCTGCACAAGTGTTAGTGTGTTAGTTGATTGCTTTGTAACACATTTTTTCCCCACTTCCTGGATTACTTGTTTTTCTGGGAAAGCTCACAGAGTTGCGCCAGGTTGGATACGCAAGGCCAGGCGTTTCCACTTGGATGCTGTCTTTTAGCAGATTGCAGCAGTCTCAGCATTGGATTGTGTGCCACAGTGTTGTGACCGTGGAGAGGAGAGGTCACAATATGATGGAGTTAGTAGTGTTCTTCTAACATTCATGGAGGTGGACGCCCTGTTTACAATGGGAGTGTAAACCCTGTCCCCCCATCTGATGACCTTTCTTTGCTTCTTCTGCTTTCTGTGCTCTTAGATGTGGAGGACCCCAGTGAGATACACAGCATGCTGTGTGTCTCATTCCCACTCCACAAAGCCAATGGTGTGACTACCCAACAGATGTTACTCACTTTGAGAGATTCATCATCTCGAAACCCAAGTCAGATCCCAGCACTGACGGTCTTGCTTCTTTCGGCTCCCAAAGGATCTTGTGAATTTCATCCTCGCAAACCTGGCTGAGGCAAGTTGTGATGGCCACTTTGAAACACACCAAAGGCCCTGTTTTCCAATGTTCTTGTCCCCGAAAACGAGTGAAGTCCTCAAGGAAGTTTAATCCAGTGTTCCTTAAGTCTTGTTTTCTTTAATACACCCACCCGGTATCCCACAAGCCGTTCATTTCCATTTTTCCTCTGTTACAGTTGGCCTCGTAAAATAAGCAAATGAATCGGGATATGGAGCGATTTGGGCGTTAGCTTCATAAATTGAGTAGAAGTTACATCGCAGAGAGAAAGAGCGAGGTCTCCTAGCATGTGGGTGGTCATCTGCAAGGAAAACGTTCTCTTTTTGTGCTGGTGTTTTCCAGGCCTACGCCAAAAAAAAAAGGGGCTGTGTTTTTTGACCAGGGCCTTGACTTCCGTCTTGCAGGTTTTCACACACAACCACGCACACACCCTCGGAAAAAGCGTACAATTTCTCCCATCTCCATGGTCATAGGAAATGTCTTAAAACGTGGCGTTTAAAGCCATTGGGATGAAATATATATTTTAGCCTAGTTAGGGTTCATTGATACAGTGAGCTTTTTTTCTTTCTTTGGCACTACGGCAAAGCTTGCGTATTTGTCTTATTTTGCTGGGGGGGTTGTGAGTTTGGGTTTTGGATGGAAGCCAGGGAGCGAACTCACACTGGGATGGCTCTGGGCGCCTTCAGGAAGAGAAAGAAAGGCATCAGACCAGAGACTGACATTCATAAAATGCTTGAGCAATCGGGAACTGTCAGATGTTTTTGAAGGATGCCTACTAGCATGTCTTCCTATTGGCTGTGCTGGCTGGAGACGTCTTTCCACCAGCATCTGGAGGACTTAGATTGTCCACCTCTGCTTCAAAGGGTCGACTGATCTAACCCTTCCAAAATTTCTTAGGACTTCTAAGAAATTAGAAGCACCCAAGGAATGAAAGAACCGAAGCCTAGCTAGATTTGCTGTGGAAAACTTATTTGGTGAGCTGGCAAAAACTGGACTGGTGCTAGTATCACCGTAAGCCAGGGGTCTTCAAACTTGGCCCTTTTGTGACTTGTGGACTAACTCCCAGAATTCCTCAACCAGCGTGCCTGGCTGAGGAATTCTGGAAGTTGAAGTCCACAAATCATAAAAGGGCCAAGTTGGAAGATCCTTGCCATAAGCCACAAGGTTTTGGTGGTCTGTGCAGTCTCCAACAAACATTAAACTTTTAGCGCTATGCTATGCCTTCCTTCCCCTATGGCATCTCAGCTAGCGGGTTTTTAACTCTTGATTTTGATAATCCCATTTTGCAATTTTGTCCAAACATCGTGGCATTGTGGTTTACACAAACCAGTGTCGCAAGCCATGGTTTGAAATCATTTTTGATTTTAAAACTATGAATTCTGACTCCCTGTCAATCAGAAGAAAGACAGACAGTTGGAAGCAACACACAATTTGCACTGCAAATAACCTATCAGAGAAGGTGCTTGAATTACAAATCCATGGTTTATGAGGGCCGTATAGATTGTGGCCAGTGCCGGCAGACTAAAATAAAACGATCTATATTAGTACAGTAGCCAAGTGCCATCTTTTAAAAATTACAGATTTAAAAAAATGACAATTAAAAAGTATATATTTTTTTCCTATTTGAGACACCCAGACTTTTAAAAAAGGTTTTCCCCCCCTCTATTTTAAATGAATTTTTAATTGTCAGGTATGGCACACGAGAGTCAGGCTTCACACCTAAGTTTCAAGTAGAGTTTTACCATCCTTTTTATGTGAATCAGAAAAATTTTGCCCAGATTTTCTGCATATAGATAAAACTGTGGTAGCTGAGGTGACATTCTTCCCTCTCAAGCTTATGATGTATTTTTTTTTGGGGGGGGGCTATTTAGAATGCATTACATGGACCCATCTTCCACTTCCAGTAATTTGCATGCCTTGCCTCAGGATCCTCCCCCTTCCCATTGAGTGCGTGTTCTTGTGGGGTGGGGCATGCTAATTTCATGACAATTTCTTCCAAATGTTCTTTATGTTGAGATAGCACCAACATCCCATAAACACACCTGCCCTTAGTTGGTCCTATCCACACCAGTCAAGATACTGAAGGTGTCATCCAAACTTCCATATCTTGGATCCACCGACAGACCAAAGTTTGACTTCAGCTTTCCTTAGGCTAGCTAGACCCTCTCAGATGCTTTCAGCTTTCCTTAGGCTAGCTAGACCCCTCTCTTTGGCAGGGGTCTTCCAACCTGGCTCTTTTATGACTTGTGGACTTCAATTCCCAGAATTCCTCAGCCAGCGTGCCTGGCTGAGGAATTCTGGGAGTTGAAGTCCACAAGTCATAAAAGGGCCAAGTTGGAAGACCTCTGCTCTTTGGCCATGTTGACGAGCAATCCCTGTGGCTCCCAACATCCCATTGTTTAATAACAGCAAGTAAATTTCTTAATGGAAATCTTTTTGAGTAAACCACAATTTCTACTTAGGAGCCGGTATTTAAGGCAGGTAGTAGCCTTGTAGGCCCCAAGAGACTCTTCATAACTGGAACTTTCCTATCAGAAAAAGGTAGAATCGGTTGATACTTCTTTTAATAATTTGGTCCAGCTTAGTGACTTGGCCATTCAAACAGTGCTGGACATTTAGTGCTGGTCAGTTAGATTTCTCTAGATATGTTAAAGTCTTGGGCTGGTCAGAAGTATTAAGAGATGTGTGTTGTGTGGACCTCACCGAGATGAGAGAGTAGACTTCAAATGCATGAAGATTCTTCTCTGAAAAAGATCCTTTTGCTCAATTTTTAGGGCATTGCCCCTTTTTTATCACAACTTCTCTTGTCACCTTCCACATACATGTATTTCAGGAGGATCCACCAAATCTCACAAAAATGAGCATATATCAGGACAGATTTGGAAGTCATCCTAAGAGAGACCAGGAGATGAGTGAGGATCTCTTTCAACTTCTGGGTCTTAATCTAAAATCTCAGATATAATTCTGTAGAAAAGAGAAAGCAGATAATAATGGTCAGTTCTGCCTTTAGAAATCCTGTCCGGCCACTAGCAAAAACTCTCTAAAGAGGACAGATGAAACTTCACTCCCCAAGGTCATCACGACCATTGAAATCGTGGAAGGTGACAAGGAGAAAACCAAGTTTATTTTCCACACCATCCTGTAATTGTGATGTAGACCTAGCGGTTCAGTTCAATAAGAGAAGTTGCAACTGTTTGATCATTACCGATTGATACATTCAGCTTCCCCCCCCCCCTTTTCCCTTTTCCTAACTTTATGCCATTTAGAGCTTGGCTCAGAATTTTGATAGTCCCGAAAGACTGACAGGTGTCATGCTGAAAACTGAGCTGTTCCCTCTTTAAAAAGACACGAGTTCGTAGCACCTTTATTGGCGTGGTTCCGGCGTCAGAAAGACCCATAGAGTTGATTGGGGTCGACTTGTTCCGTTGGCTCAACCAGAAAATGTTTTTTAAGACAAGTGAAATTTCATGGCTGTTGCGTTTGATTAGGGAAGCTCAGGAACACGTGGGAACCTGAAGTTCCAGGGACCAGCGAGGAAATCCACCCTCTGAATTCTCAATTTTCTTTTCCCAAAATTAAAAGCCCCCGCAGATGCTCTGGGGAAAGATGGTGAGAAAGCAATATAAATCTGTCCGAAGCTGCTGATCTGGACGTTGCTTTGGGGAAAAGTGGCAAAGGGTGGAATTCAGTAAATTGACTTGATGGTCTTCTCCAGGACTGAAAGGAAAGAAGAGAGGTGCTCTTCAAAGAGTGTGTGTGTGTGTGTGTGTGTGTGAGAGAGAGAGAGAGAGAGAGAGAGAGAGAGAGATATTTTAGAAGCGGGTTTTGATTGGTTTATGTTTGACATAAGCCTCAGTTCTTGGTCCTGCCGGCCACGTGATGTGAGCGTCTCAGGTGGGAGAAGCAATTTGAAGGATCACGAGTGACGGAGGAAGGCGTGGGAAGTTAATTCTTTTATTTTTATTTAAAAAAAAGAAAGATTAGAGGCAGGGCGAGCCAAAGGCATTTTCATACCAAAGGAATCAAAAGCTATTTGGTCCCCTCTAGGATGAGCTAAAAATATAATTCAGCCAAATTGTGTAAAGCAGGACTCTCGAGACTTGACCATTTAAAGCAGGGGTTCTCAACCTTGGCAACTTTAAGACTTGTGGACTTCAACTCCCAGAATTCCTCAGGATTCCTCAGGAATTCTGGGAGTTGAAGTCCACAAGTCTTATTGAGAACGCCTGATAGACTCCCCAGCCCACGAATCTTTAAAGTGGCCAGGTTTGGAGACCCCTGGTGTAAATCATACCAAAGTGTGCATAGCCATTTAACACAGGGGGGTCTTCAAACTTGGGCCTTTTGATGACTTGTGGACTTCAATTCCCAGAATTCCTCAGCCAGGCTGGGAGTTGAAGTCCACAAGGCATCAAAAGGCCAAGTTTGAAGGACCCCCCCCCCCGATTTAACACAACGTGCTTGTGGGATAACCATTAGGCCCAACAGATTGTGTTTATGGGTTGTCGTCTCCACTTTTGTCAACAAAGCTCCTTCCGGCTCTTTTTGATTTGCCACCCACTCGGCGCACACGTGCGAAGCGTTTTCCTGCCGCGCTCACCGCTGTGGGCATTTTCGGATGTCCTTTCCCGTGGCTTTCCGCTTCTCGGCCCCGCATCTTTCGGATGTACGATTGTTCCGCCAGGTTGAAGATGTATGCAAGAGTGACTTTGGGGAGAGAAGAGCAATTCCCAATGTAGAATTTTGCTGTATGTAATGTATATACGGAGAGAGAATGTATTTTGTTCATTTTTTTTCTTAATAAAAAGAAATTATGCCGAACTTGGATTCTCGCAACAGCTATTTCTTGAAAGTGTGCTCGAAGTTACAGTGGCACAGAAAAAAGTGATTTATGACCTTTTGTTTTCACTTACAACCATTGCACTGATCCTCACCTGATCAAAAATGGTATAGGGTTTCCTGCCTAAGCAGGGGGTTGGGCTAGAAGACCTCCAAGGTCCCTTCCAGCTTCTATTCTGTTCTATTGCATTCCATTCCACTCCACATTTTCTATTCTATTCTATTCTATTCTATTCTATTCTATTCTATTCTATTCTATTCCCATTCTATTATTTCTATTCTATTCTATTCCATTCCATTCCATATTTTCTATTATAATTCCATTCTATTATTTCTATTCCATTCCTTTCCATATATTTCATTCCATATATTCTATTCCATTCCATTCCATTCTAAAAATAACATTAAAATCCATCCATGCTCAAGCCTGGCTTTAGAGTTTTTTGAATTTTCAGCAGCATTTCTGTCCAGAATTTTGTCTATTTCTTTTGTCAATTTTTTCATCTAATTTTTTTTTTTAAAAAAAAACTCTCCATCTTTGTTGTTCTCCTTTTAAAACTCCGAAACACTTCTAGAACATTTCCCATAATCAATGGTAACACTACAATTACATCTGGAGTGAGTTTGGGTGGTGGTGGTGGTAAGTCCGGCCAGGGGCCGAATTTTAAAATTAAATTTGGGAGCAAAGAAAACGCAAGGCTTCGTTCTAAAACTAGATCCTCGCCCCACAAGTAGCTAACATATCGGCGAGAGAGAAGAAGTCAACACTCCACAAAAAGGATTTATTTTTATTTGACAGTAATAAGCAATGTCATCAAAATATACTTTGTAAGAAAATGTAACCATGCTTTTTACAGCCGTCCGTCTCCTTTTTTTTTTTGAGTTCCAGTGTATATTTGACTCCTGTTTCGGCACAAAATGTGCCGGGGAAAACTATACAGTGTTTGGGTGCAGCGCCCCAATTTTTTATTACAATCAAAAGGGGCTAAAAGATATGCCAGTCCAGTCAGATTACAAAAATAGAAGCCCAGTAAGCTGCAACACACACACACACACACACACACACACACACACACACACACACACACACACACACACACACACACACACGATTCAAATCTCGCTTAAGGCTTAACGAACCATCCAGTAGCCCAATTGCACATTTTTAAAAGCGTGAAAAGAGGCATCAGAAGCACATTCATAGGAGCATGGAAGGGTTCACAGGTTCTCAGCTGGAATCATATAGGTAGTCCTCGGCTTACGACGGTTTTCATTTCGTGACCGTTCAAAGTTACAACAGCACTGAAAACGGATTTGTGACCGTCTTTCACGCAACCGTTGCAGCGTTCCCCAGGATTGCGTGATCGAAATTAGGACGCTTGGCAACTGACTCGCATTTACGACGGTTGCAGTGTCCCAAGGTCACGTGATCTCCTTTTGCGACCTTCTGACAGGAAAAGTCAACGATGGGGAAGCCGGATTCACTTAAGGCCCGTGTTGCTAACTTAACTGCAGTGATTCGCTTAACGACCGGCAAGAAAGGTTGTAAAATGAGGCAAAACACAGAACTGTACTGTTGAGTCCTTGTCGTAAGTTGAGGATTACCTATACCAGGGGTCTTCAAGCTTGGCCCTTTTATGACTTGTGGACTTCAAGTCCCAGAATTCCTCAGCTAGGCGCGTGCCTGGCTAAGGAATTCTGGGAGTTGAAGTCCACAAGTCATAAAAGGGTCAAGTTTGAAGACTCTTGTCTTAAATCTAACGAACAAAATGGAGGATGGCTGAGGAATTCTGGGAGTTGAAGTCCATAAGCCATAAAAGGGCCAAGTTTGAAGACCCCTTGACCTATACAAGCATTTTAACCTCAGTCTGGGTCCTTTCCAAGCTTTAGAAAGAGAAGGATGTGCCGGGAGGTTTGTTTTTAAGCTCAGAAATAAATATTCAACCCATCTTGAATTTTGGGGAGATGGCACATAACAGGATCTCTCTTCTGACGGGAAATTCAGAGCAAAGCGGTTTGATTTTACTCTTCCAATGAGACCACTTCTCGTTTCATTTAGCGCCTGCCCCTAATTCTTCACTTTGCTTCTTATGCGCAACACAAAACACGATAGGCACAGTAGTAACCCACACACACACACACAAAAAACCTGCAGGCAGATGAGGGCAAATGGTTTGATCCTTAAGTTGCTAATTTGGAATGTTTTTACCCTAAAGATCTGTCCCAGGTAAATTGGTAGATTGCCCTTTTGATTTGCATACAGGATTTGTCAGTAAGGGGAGAGAAGAAAAAAAAAACTGAAATACTTCAGCGCCAAAATAAGCAAAGCCACAAACAGCCTGTGCTTCTTAATCCATTGCTGAATGGAGGTTAGTTAGCAAATCCTTCTTACTTGAGGTCACCACACCTCCTTTTCTGTAACACGGATTCTGGAAAAAAAAAAAGCTACGCTGGTGGTGTCCCAAAACTCACTTGAATGAATCGTGGAAATAGACTTTGTGCAGGAGCTTGCTCTAAATTGTGGGTCCCCAACCCCATTCGCGGACTGGTAGCAGGCCACGGCGTGCCAGCAATTGGTCTACACAAACCAGCAAAACCCCATCTGCGGGATGCAGGCAGCACACAAAACACGCATCTTCCGGCCCGCGGAAAAACCTCTCTCCACGGAAGCGGTCCCTGGTGCCCCAAAGGTTGGAAACCTCTGCTCTAATTAATGTCTCTGCAAAATGTTTAGCTGAATCAAGAAACTCAAGGAGATAAGTTAGAGCAAGGGTAGGCAACCCAAAACACTTAAAGAGCCACTTGGACCCGTTTCCCACCAAAAACAAAACACTGGGAGCCGCAAAACCCTTTTGATATCTAAAATGAAGATAACACTGCATATATCCTTTTTTACCTTTATTATAGGTGTGTGTGTGTGTGTGTGTGTTTGTGTGTGTATGTATGTGTGTGTGTGTATATATATGTATATGTATATATGTATGTGTATACACACACACACACATACACACACACACACACACAGGTAAAAAAAGGATATATGCAGTGTTATCTTCATTTTAGATGTCAAAAGGGTCTCTCTCTCTCTCTATCTCTCTCTCCCTCCCTCCCTCTCTATCTGCCCTTGGTCTGCCACTCCTCTTCCCCCGCTCTCTTTCTTTCTCTCTCTCTCTCTCTCCTCTCTCTCTCCCTCCCTCTCTCTTTCTCTCTCTCTCTTTCTCCCCCCCCCATCTGCTGCTCACCTGGCAAGCTTCACGCTGTTGTCCAACAAGCAACCTCGTCTCTTTTATGACTCATGGACTTCAACTCCCAGAATTCCTGAGTCAGCCTAGCTGGGCTAGCTAGCTCTCTCCTGCCCTTCCTGCTTCCTGCTTCCTTCAGAGATGCAGCAAAGGGAGGAGCTCCGCCCAGTAAGCTTTTCAGCTCCTCGGAGAATACTGTGAGTGCACTCTCTTTTACACATACACACAGACACACACACACACACACACAAACACAAACACAAACACACACACACACACACACACACACACACACACACAGAGAGAAGCAGGGAAGCGCAATTGCCTCTCTCTGTCTCTGTCTCTCTCTGCAAAGGCAGAGGAGGCTGGGAGCCGCAGGGGAAGGCTCAAAGAGCCGCATGCGGCTCCGGAGCCGCAGGTTGCCGACCTGTGAGTTAGAGAATTGACCAATTAAAACTTCCTTTTTCCCTACATCAAACTCCAAGTGAATGTCTGCTTCAATGGCTTATGCCAGGGGTCCCCAGCCTTCAGTTCGCGCACGGCATGCCAGCAACCGGTCCGCACAAACAAGAAAAGCCCTCTCCACTGAACATAGGCAGCACACAAAACCACACCCCCTCTGGTCTGCGGAAAAACCTCTCTCCATGTTACTAGTCCCTGGTGCCCAAAAGGTTGGGGACCTCTGGCTTATGCAGTTTAAATTTTAAGCTCCTTTAGTGAGAGATGTCTCAACCGCCAGACAATTTTTAATAGCAATAGCACTTAGACTTATATATATCACCCCGCAGTGCTTTACAGCAGCTGTCCCCAATCTTTCCAACACCATGGACCGCCGGCAGCGAGTGGAGTGGGGGAAGGGATGGTTTTGCGTACGCAACTTAATCCCACATATGGCCAAATGGAGCTTTGCGCATTTGCTGACTACTCATGGGGGCCAGTTCTCAATGGACCACAGATGGGTAAGTCCTTGACTTCAACACTGGAAGTTTCTAAGAAGAGACTGGACAGCCATTTGTCTGAAATGGTATAGGGTTTCCTGCCTGAGCAGGGGGTTGGACTAGATGACCTCCAAGGTCCCTTCCAACTTTATTAACTCTTCATTTAGTGACCGTTTGAAATTACGACGGCATTGAAAATAGGGACTTTTGACTGCTTTTCACACTTACGATGGCTGCAGCGTCCCCAGGATCACCTGATCAAAAATCCAAAAGCTTGGCAACTGACATGTACTTAGGACGGTTGCAGCATCCCAGGGTGACATGATCCTGTTTTGCCACCTTCCGACGAGCAACGAGAAGATCAGATTCACTAATCAAGCGCGTGGCTAACTTAACAGCTGCAGGGACCGACAACAACTACGGCAAGAAAGGTCGTAGCATGGAGCAAAACAACTGTCTTGCTTAGTCATGAAAATTTGGCGTTCAATTTTGGTCGTTACGTTGAGGACTTCCTGTGGAGGGACGTAGCCATGAAAGTCCACGTCATCAGCCTCTGCTCAACAGGCTACATTAAGCCATGATTTGCTTAGGCCTGCTTTGCATTTGCCGGGGCACGTAAGGTTCTTAATCTTAAGACCACAAGCAAAAATGCCACAGCCAAACTAATATTTGGGCTTGTCTGTTGGATGAACTAGGATTTATCTTCCTCCATCTCCAAAGGCAAATTACGTTCTAGTAATATGAATCTCTACTTCAGCGTTTCACCACCTTGGCTGGCTGGGGGATTCTGGGAGTTGAAGTCCACCCGTCTTCAAGTTGC